TTACTATAAGAAATGCCATAGCTTCTCCTGGCACAAGTCTCCTGGCACAAGTCTCCTCCACAGAGGAAATGAATCACGCCATTAGGTTTTTCCATAGGCTGCATTATCACTCTCCTCTGTAAAGTGGCTGGGTGTTTGCAGGAGAGGTCAGGGAACAAAACGCCCCCAAATATGTATTTGTTTCCAGATTTTGTTTGCACAGGAAAACAGTGGCAGATCAAAAGTATTTTGGTCTATACAGTATGGGAAGCCCTGATCAGGCGACGTTGGGGGAGATGGAGACTTACATGCATTCCCTCGTTGCCTTCTGGTAACACCTACCCAGCAGGGAGGGCACACAGAGGTAGTGCTAATGCATGGACACTAGGAGAATCAGAAGACACTGGCTGTGCAGATGCACTGGACCTCCACACAAGGGTTCCAGCAATCTGTGGGTAACCAAGATCTATGGACTCTTACTACTGACCACGGGGAAAAGAATGTCTTAGCACTCTTACCATACACATACACAACATGGTAGGTCTGAAATTACACCAGCCTCCCCCTCTGGTTATTACAATGACATTAAGACAGTTCTTGCCTCTGTACCAAGGATTGGAAATCTGCTCCGTACGTCTACGCTACAGGACAAAGTAGAATTAAGCTACGGAACTTCAGCTATGTTAACTGTGTAGCTGAAGTCAAAGTAGCTTAACTCGGGTTTTGGTGATGTCTACACTGCAGGAAGTTGAAGGAAGAACACTCTTCCTTCGACTTCCCTTACTCCTCGTGAAAGCAGGGTTACCAGTATTGACCGGAGTGCCCCTCTCACTTCAAATTTAGCTGTCTTAACTAGACTGCTAATTGGAACCCTGGAAGATCGACAGCAGAAGCTTCAATCTTCCTCCGCAGTGTACTCTTACGCAGAATGTTATGGTGCATATGCTGACTTGCAGTGTCTTATCCAGCCATTAGATGTCACCACTTACTGTAGAGCATGTTCGAAAGAGGATATTGCGCCTGGTAAACAAGAAAGACGGAACTGTAACTCAAACTATGTGAAAGTGCAAACAATTTGAGCTATACAGTTGTAGCCACTTTCTACAATCAACACCTCCTGTTAAAGCAGAGCAGTGCTTCCATAGAGCAAGACACAGTGTGGCTCTGTGAAGTCGCCAAAGCACCTCCCTTGAGGAGAAAACTTACGGGAAACTCTGAGCTCACACGAACAGGGTTTAATTCACTCACAAGGTTTCCTGCAAAAAGGGGCAATCTGGTCCTAAAATAATGAGATAACAGAAGGACCAGATATATGTGCAAGATGGGGGTGAAGATACAAAAAGGAAAAGAAACTGGCAAAGAAGTTCAGTCATTTAAATCTCAATCTCACAACATTATGGCTGTGTTGTGTCTACACTGGCATGAATTTCCGGAACTGCTTAAAACGAAATACTATTCAGTTTTCAGTTTTTCCGGAAAAGGAGCGTCTACATTGGCAGGCTGCTTTTCCGGAAAAGTCCTTTTTCCGGAAAAGCGTCTGTGGCCAATGTAGACGCGCTTTGCCAGAAAAGAGCCCTGATCGCCATTTTCGCGATCGGGGCTTTTTTCCGGAAAAGACTACTGGGCTGTCTACACTGGCCCTTTTCTGGAACAGTGTTCCGGAATAAGGACTTATGCCCGAGCGGGAGCAGAATAGTTTTTTCCGGAATAGCGGCTGATTTTGTACAGTAGAGCATCGTTGCTTTTCCGGAAATTCAAGAGCCAATGTAGACAGCTTGCAGCTTATTCCGGAAAAGCGGCTGATTTTCCAGAATAAGTGGCCTAGTGTAGACACAGCCAAGATGTTCCCCTCACCACCACAAAGCAACAGCCACAGTGCACAAGTACAGGCCAATGCAGGAAAAGGTCAGACACGAAACCAAAAGCTTAGAACCTATTTCAGCTGTGCCCAAACAATTATCCCGTCTTTTAAGCCTATCAATCAATTTGGAGATCTTATGCTCTGCGCATAGACAGGCTAATCAACTCTCAAACTTGGAATCCAAACTACAATTAAAATTCAAAAGGATTCCTTTTAAAAACATCCACCTAGGAAACTGTATTTTAAGCACTTGCCGCTCTCCATTTGATATTTTACAGACATGAAAGTGCTGAAGCTCTTCCGCTCCTTTGTTAATCGGCCCTTCAAAATCTACTCCAGGAAAGGCACTTTTTCAAAGCCATGCACAACAGCCAGGTACTGTATACAATTCCCCTCACTCAACAATGTGATTTTTTTGCCTAGCTCCCACACTGTTTTGAGTATGTAATACCTAGCTGTATATATGTAATAACACCAGAGCACTATTGCTACAACATATCACAGTTCCTATCATGCACAAATTCAGGATATTAAGAGGCAGGTAATTGACTAATAGTATAGTCGATATAATTTGTATCAACAACATGATAGGTCAATAAGGGAAGGTGCTCTAAACCAGCTCACATTGGTACAGGAGCTACCCTCGCTGTGGCTCTGTAGTTTAAATGTAGTAGGAACTGGGCAGCGGGGGTAGGTCCCCAACAGGCGTGAGCAAAGACAGAGTTGAGATCACTGAGGCTCTTCATGGAAGCCTCCTCTATCCCCTCCACTGCTGCCTCTGATAGAGGCAGCAGCATGGAGTGGGAGGGGCCAGGCGGCACTGCAGAGACGGTGTTGGGGGGAGCTGGGTTTTAAGCCGGCTCCCCCCAGCATCCCAGCTCCTGCTCCACTCCTCCCCATTGCTGGCTCTGTGTCAGAGGCAGCAAGGGGCAGGGGGAGGGCGGTGCGAGTTGTACTCATATCCCTAGTACAAATACAGAGAAGCATTTTAAAACATCTCTCCCCCATTCTTAAACGTCACTAGACTATTTTAAAAAAGAGTTATTGCTGTTTTCCAAGTGTCTTCATTTTCGGAAATAATGGATTTACTATACAAAGTAACCAGTACAGAGTTCCAACCACATGTCTCCTTTGGTAAGCCTTTGAGAGAAGGACATGCACACAGCAAAATGTCAGGTCTATGATTTTTTTCAAATCCTTTGAGGGTTTGGGGTTTCGTTCTCTGGCATAAGACAAAGGGTCAAGTGTGGCTGCTGATGACGGAGATAACACATGTAACAAATGAAAGATGTCGGCCAGTTGAGGTACAGAGTTCCAACCACATGTCTCCTTTGGTAAGCCTTTGAGAGAAGGACATGCACACAGCAAAATGTCAGGTCTATGATTTTTTTCAAATCCTTTGAGGGTTTGGGGTTTCGTTCTCTGGCATAAGACAAAGGGTCAAGTGTGGCTGCTGATGACGGAGATAACACATGTAACAAATGAAAGATGTCGGCCAGTTGAGGCACTCAACGGGGGTACAGGAGTTCTAGGTTCAGTCCCCAGGTCTGCTACAGACTTCCTGTGTGACTCTAGACAACCCACTTAATCTTTCTGTGCTTTAGTTTCCCACGCCTGTGAAATGGGGGGGAAGGGGAACTAAAACTTCCTTTCTTCAACCTTTCCACTGCCTTATCTTTTTAGGCCTTTTTTAGGGTTACCAGATGGTTTCAAAAAAATATCGGACACACTTGATCTTAGATTGG